ATTTTCTTTTGTCTCCGATTCAAGACAAACGCCCAAGACAAGGATTTCACTGGTCGGTTTTCGCTAACGACCGCAGACATCGGAAAGTGCATCGAGATGTTGGAGAAGGTCCATGGCCAAGTCCATGACTATGGCTATGGCTATGAGCCTATGGCTCTGACTATGACACCGTGCCTGGTCCTGATAGAGTCTAGACCTTTACCATCGTCACCGGTGACGCTGAGTGTACAGCCGAGCCGGGCTGGGCTGGGTTGAGCTGCTGGGATAGCCCGTCCTCGCTTCTGAAGGTGCAGTTGACGTCGATGTATCGCCCAGGCATTGTCAATTGGTCGCTATTCTCGTGATTTCGTATTTGATGACTGCTGTGCATCTTTTGGCTGTTTATCACCCTCGCTACAAATGTCAGGTAGTTGATCCTCATTAATTATTCTCTTCATTTTGAAGGTGATTTGGATCAATGACGCTGTGATTTCGGGTTCCAGAGGGAGGGACCCTGATTGACACCGATTCCAGCCATTCTTCAGATCGACAGGCGCTTGATTTGAGCCCCTGCTCTGTTCGGTTCGTTCGCGAAACATGTCATATTGTGTCGTCTTTGACTTTGTGACATTCAATTCATCGAGATGTCTTTCCAATCCGTGTTAGTGAAGTAGCACCGTTTGGGCGCCTGCCAATGAGAGCTACAGGCTTTCAAAACGGCCAAATTAAAATGGGGCTAGAGTGAGGTCTAGGGTAGGCGATACACACTGGCCCACTCGCACATGTGAATGTCGCGTCTCCAGCTCTCTTTCAATTAACGCGTGTCGCGTCGCTAACAGAGACTACACTCCACCAACTGCTCAAACATCGATACGATCCCCAATTGACTATACAGCTGCCATATCAAGATCTCACCATGTCTCGGAGAGGCATCAACCGCACTGGTAATTCATCTACAGAGTTACCTGAGTACGAACCACCATCATGTCCACTCACCGACGTTGCTCGCCGCAAACTGCACGACTTGTCAAACACCCGCTCAACGGCTGCATATCAACAGCAGATCAACGAATCTGTCCGATTACTTGGCTTTAGCGTCAGTGACATCCACGAGAGATTGCGCGTGCAGCGTGAAGAGCTGGCCCGTCTAAAAGCCCGAAGAGAGGAGAAGGGGACAGAGAAATCCGAGGACGAGCAACGCCTTGAAGCTCATCTCCCTGAACTGGAGGAGCGCATCAATACACTGACAGCGGAATCGGAACAGGCCATTCGTGACATGATCGATCGCAGAGCCGAATTGGAAGATGAAGATGTCATGTTCAGCGAGTTGTATGACAAGGCCAGTGCAGAAGCTGCCCAACAAAGACAAGTGGACGCTCAGCGAGGCGAGCAGGACGGCGAGCAGGGCGACGAGCAGGAGCCGCTGGCTGCAACAAGCCTACTCGAAATCTACAAAGAACTGCGCCAGAAGAAAGACACCGAATATACTAAAATGTCCGCCCACCAGCGTTATGCTCTCAACAACGACTACGCTGGCTTCAAAAAGCTGTGGCACGATGCTATGGCTGGCGATGAGGGGCCTCCACTACCCGATGCCTCACGCTGGTTTACTTCCGATGGCGAACCTATCATGACCATTGATGTCAAAGGAGCCGGTGCCGGGGGCGGAGACGACGACGACGATATTGCTGTTGAGCGTGAGGTCAAGAGCATTAACTGCCCTTTGACATTACAACCCATGAAGGATCCTTACACCAACCGAAACTGCAAACATACATTCGAGAAGGCCGCTCTGCTCGAGTATCTACCCATGCGAGGAGAGTCTCAATGTCCACAAGCAGGATGCTCGCAGGTCCGCTCACTCTCCATCATACAAGCGCTATTGACTAACGTGGTGTATAGAAATTCACGCGTGCGCGATTCGACCACGAGTTCTTCCAGGACCAAGCCATGGCGCGCCGTATCAAGCGCGTTCGTCTAGCACAGCAGCAGCAGGAAATGATGGACGACGATGACGAAGGCGAAGGCGACGACGAACTTCGAGTTAGAGGCTCACAGGCTGTCCCCGGAAGGCCGCTCAAGAAGGAGAGGAGAGCAGAATGACCGCGGTTTTAGGTCAAACGTGCGAGTTTGTTCACTACGAAGACATGATAGAATGATACCCCGCCAGTGTTAGAACTGATAGAAACCAATCTAGCAATTGAGAACAGTCTTCAGATGCTGCACATAGGTATGTAATAGAATGAAAATTGAAGAACAGAATGGCCCGAGAGAATCAAAGGACTTGGATAGAAATCAAGAGGGTATTCCGGAATGTGCTATATTTTACTCTAGAAATATTATATATACGACAACGTAGGGTATCTTGAGTGTTCATTACCCCCTGCGCTATTTGGCTCAACGAGCCTAATGCGAATAAGAAACATACTATGTGATGCTTTTCCAACCGGTGCTAATTACCATTACCCACAAAACCTTGGGAAATAACGCCATGATTCTTCTATAACAATGTTCTCCGCTCGTGCTGCGCAGGTGCAACAAACAATACAGTGCTCCCTCAGACTTGGGAGCTCATGCAACAGCCTGCAATACCAGAACGCCAACAATAGCAACCACTAGCCCTGAATTGGGTGGGTTCCATGTTGCAGCATCAGGTGTTTCAGTTGCTGTATATACACCGGTCATATCCGATGTTGAGCTGGGATCTGAAGTTGATGTCGTTGGTGTCTCCGTCGTCTCTGCTTGTAGCGGCCAATCTTCCTTCGAGGTATACAGTATGCCATTGACCACAATCCCTGTGTCATCCTTGACTAGTTCCTGGGCGCCCTCATCGCAACTGCCTTGAAAGTTCCGGACGTAGCACGTTGGGTTCAATTGCTTAGGAAGATGTTCAGTATGCGTCGCATTGGCATCACCCGTGGTATTATACGTGGCGGCATCAATGTCCTTGCCAGTAGAAATCGAAGTGCCCAGGATGATACGAGCAAAAATCTGGAAGGCAGTCTCAGGCTGATAAGCAGGCACGGCGTGGCCTGCTTGGTAGACACGACTGAAGGATAGGTTGCCGAACTGACGAACAACACCACCAATGTATGAATCATTGACAATGATGGGTGCGTATCCAGCGTCAGGAAAGCGAATGCTGTATTCGCCACCTGCTTCGCTGGCCAGGTTTTGCGAAACTGCTTCTCCGCCAAGCCAATTGCATATATAGTCACGATCTCCGTATATCAGGGCAATCCGTACTCCTGAATTGAGGAGAGAAGCTAGGCGGGCGATATTGCCGCCACGCGCCTGATCGCCCGTGGATTGGAACTCAAGATTGACATTTATGTTGGTCATTGTAAAGTTGATAGGAGAACCGATAGCCTTTTGCACGGAGTCTTGGTTAAGGTATTCCAAGAATGTCATAGGTGGGAAAGGGTCGGCTAGGGGCGCAGCAAGATCGTACCAGCCACGACCTGAACTAGAGTAGGCGTTTTGAATGTCATTGCAGCTACTTTGAGCCTCAAAGCAGATCTGATTGATAGATTCCTCGTTCCCTTCGCCCTCGGGATCGCTGACTGATGCATCGGTGGCACATTTTTGGAGAAGATCGCGACAGCCGCCTTCAGCAGAGAACTTGTCGAGGTTGAACTTGGCGTCGCTATCAGATAAAGCTTTATAGCCATATGTGTTGTCACTGGCAAATGTTGGATAGTAGGGTACTTGGATCTCCATATCAACGCAACCATTGACGATGCCGAGAGAACTGAGGTGGACGTCCATGGTTGAATTGCGTGGTAACTCCCCGCTCTCTCGTCGAGCGTTTTGCTGTACAAAGGTTTCCGCGAAGACAGGGCCGTAGCGACCACCATAACTCTCGGCAAAGAGGTTGATGCCAAGTGAGCTGTTGCGAGAACGCGAGGCAGGCTGGTATTGTGGGAACGTGGTCAAGAAGCCCTGGACCATATGCCAAACGGCCATGGCAGCGGTCTCAGTAGTATTGGCAGTAAAATTTCCATTGTTGGAACTGAAAGTGCCATTGGGAACGAGCCATTCTGGAACCTCCGGGTAGAACACTGGAGGCTCAGTAACATTTTGACTGAGAAAGTTCAGTGTGCCGTCGGTAGGCGTATCGTATGAAAAGCCGACTTGGTTGGGCTAGAAAGGTGCATGTGAGCTCTCGGGAGTTGGCGATGATACTCGAGGTTTACCTACCTGATCGATAAAGAGCATGTTAGAGGCTCGATCCCAGCCCCATTCTCGCACAAGCGTTTCGTATTCATTTAACCCTTTCTCGACAACTTCACAAGGCCCGTTGCCGGTGAAGAAACCATAGAGTGAGCTGGATCCTGGTCCTCCATTGAGCCAGATAGTGAGACTGTCAGTCCGCTCACGAGCCTCGACGAACCAAAAGAAGAGATTGGTTGGATAATCCCCGGGAACCGACACCCAACCTGTGTACTGCTTTTGAGAGTCGAATGCTGTAGAACAGACGCCTTCGGGAGTTTTATAAGAGACAGTCACATCCCGATTTGCTGGTGAACGGACGACTGTGAGGTTACGCGCCTTAGCATCAGAGCTAGGGATGAATTGTGCGAATGATAGAGAGACCAAGGCAGAAACAACCAAAAATCGTATATAAAGAGGAGAACAAATGAGGCGATGAACCGCCATAACGGCGGAGGAAGAGGTGTGGTTTCGTAGCAATGCAACGATCAGGTATTTCAGGAGTGGTGAGAGGGTACGGTAGGAGTCGTCGTCATCCAACAAATAATCAAACCCATAGCAAGACAATAACTAAAAGGGCGAGACAAAGTCAAGTCAAGCAAGACACCAGCGAGCGATTGATTGAGACAAGACCTGCCGAGACAAAAACAAAACAAATGACAGGCAGATTTGAAGATAAACGACTGATATGCAATGAAATAAGAAACACTGGAATAGTTGTCAACGAACGACAGTCATTATTATTAGAAATGGTACCTTGAATTTGATGTAGGTACTGAGCTAGGAGAAAGAGAGGATCAATCCAGGAGGAGCCCAGGTCAAGGTCAAGTGGGTTCCATCCTTGGGTACGGGAGTGGAGGAACCGTTGCAGCTACAGTTACGGGGCAGCCACTGACTCCTCGTTTCTGCCGCCATGAACCCGGTCTTGCACTGTATCGGAGGTTGATCATAGGGCGTTTTGGACTCTGTCAGCCCTCTTAATTAGCGGAATCTGCCCTGGCGTTGTCGGCTACGGCATGGGATCTTAGTGGGCGGGGTTGTCTCGGGTGGCTGTATAGGTAGTACGTACAGTGCCTCGTAATTGTCTGGTCACCAACGAATATGAAAACATGTGAAGACCGTCCTAGGTAATGGATGTCTTCTAGATCCAATTCGATTCGCTGTTGCTCGGAACAGACAAATACACCAAAGAGATACCTAATGCTCAACGTGAGGCACTGTTTGTTCTGTACGAGTTGACGTGCAACGCGAAAACCTGTTACGCCAAGGATCATATCCCAGTAAGCTGTGAATCAATCCTTATTAGTGGTAGGGTAATCCAGGAGCATGGAGCTGTATCAGCTCGCACAGCCGCAACATGCTGTGAGATGTTACTGGTTCGGTGGTGCCCATTCCGACATTAGGAACTGCTAGTTCTGAGTGACTATATGCAAACATTGCAAACGACGACAACTCCCCAGCCTTCCAGTATGTACAGGGACGCTCTTTTCTACAATAGGTAAGCTGAGCGAGGAGAATAGTTCTCGCCAACCAAAATACCCATTAGTAAGGTAGTCCCTAGCAGGACCAAGTTTGATCCTCTCATGACGCATGTCCTGTTACAGGAGCTTTATGTAGAATCATGCTAATTTAATAGTTGACAAATCCCATATTGGATTATACTTTACATAGTAAGAGCCTTTCAGCTGGCGAACTACCTAATCATTTTACACTACCTATATTACAATTGACTGTCATTTGATCATTTGCGACCTCAAACTTTTGTGTAACCGTATAGCAACATGAATCATACACATCTGAACCAAGCCTATCAGGCCTCGGATTTACGCACAGCAAAGAAGTAGTTACCTACCTTTTCACTGCCATCGACCTGCTTCCAGCCAAGCCCGGGGACATATATCACGCCCTGCACCATCGGGTGGCTCCAGCCTCGACCGGCGAGGAAAGTTCGCAACTCTTCCTCGTTGAGATACTTGTTCCAGTCGTGTGTTCCCTTGGGAACAATGCCCAGAACATCCTCGGCCATGAAATTGGTGGTAAACCAACTCATCCACGTTCGCGCGATGGTGCTCATAACAAGCCATCCACCAGGTTTGACGAAGGGGCGCACCTTTTCCAGGAATGCGCCTGGAGCATCGATATGCTCGATAACCTCGAACAACGAGACCACATCGTAGGCCTCTTTTGGTGTCGCAGGAAGAGGAAGATTTTCTATTGATGTTTGCCGATATTCGAGTTTGGAGCGAAGACCGGGATCTTTGCGAGCGTGTGAACGTGCCACAGCGAGCACTTCGGGGGTGGGATCGATGGCAGTGACATGTCTCGTGGTCGGTAGACGAGCTGCACTTTCGGCAAAGATACCACCGCCGCAGCCAATATCAAGGAATGTCAGGTCTCGGGTGGGGGAATCGGGGTCGGTGCGGTGACAAGCGCGAAGGAAGTCATGACGTAAAGGATTCATGAGATGAAGTAGCCGGGAGGACCCATGAGGATCCCACCAGTCGGCGGCGAGCGCATTGAAGTGCGAGACCTCATCGGGGTTGACAGAGGAGAAATTCTGTGACGAGTTGGGCGAGGACGTGGAGTGCCATCGAGGTGTTGGCGATGTCGTAATAGAGGCTGCGATGGTATGGCTCGCCGGCAATGGGAGGGCTAAAGGCCGCCGACTTGATCGGGCGAGGTTGCGGAAGAGGGCACCCGCCGGCCGGAACGGAGCCGGCATATTTGGAGGCTCGGAGGTGAAGTAAGAGAGGTCACGGTTTGGTTGGTAGGTGGTAATGGAATGGGTAAGGTGTGGATGATGCGAGGATCGATGAGCAGATGACAAAGCTGCAAGCCAAGCAAGATAAGATAGTGTCTATGGACCCTGAAAAATGGTTCAACGATGACAAGATTCAATTCGATCGCAGGGTGCACTCGGACGGTTCCGCCATCCGTTCCACTACTACTCTACCAAAGTCCAAGAATTTCTATCGTCTCTCGCTGACTGATGCTTCGCAATTCCTTAGTCTAACAACGTCTTCAACAAAGCTGACATAATGAGCGAGCCAGAACTGACCAATCATAATGAAAAGAATCATACCTCAATTGCCCGATCAAGTAAAGACCCTTTTGGAATCACCAACAATGCATTGACATGTGAGCTCATCAGTGTCGACGATGCACCACGGGTTCACAACCAATGGCTCCGAGGGTAAAGTAACTCGGCATTCAGGTAGGCCTTCATGGGGTTTGGGCTTACTTAGACCGGATAAGCCGGGCTCGATCGTAAGGAAGCGAGCGGGAAATTCACCGCGCGGCTGTGATTAAGACCGGACTGCGGAGCGGGGCTTGGCTTGCTTTGGAGAAAAAGGTTGTGTCTGAATCATGCGATGCGAGAATCAAATGCCGTATCCGAGCATATTTGATAGTTGCAGTTCGCTCTCCATCGCCTGAATCATTGCTCCCTCACTCAATCAATTCTTTGCTTACTCAACTTCTTCTTGGTGCTTAACAATCACCTAATCGGCTCCCCCATATCAGAGTCCCCAGTAAAAAAAAACAGTTCCGTTCCCTTCCTTGACTTGACCCTTCATCAACCCCCGCGTGCCGCTGCCGCTTCCGTCTCCGCCTCCGAACCCGCTCTCCTCGTGCGTGCGTCCCGTCGCAACCGTCGCATTCACAGACAGTCACAAGCCGAGGTCGAGAACCAAGGCTTTCTCTTTGGGATACCAATTGCTGCTCAACACTCCATACCTTGCACTGTCCAATCCCTCTGCCATTATTCCTCATCATACCTCCAACATGCCCGCAACAATCCCCCAGAACCAGTTTGACTCAATCCCCGACTCGATCGAGGCTTTCCGTACGTGACTCCTATAATCCTCTCATGTGTGACTGCGCTAACATTGATTGTGGCAGGAAATGGAGAATTCCTCGTCGTGCTCGATGACCCTTCACGAGAAAACGAAGCCGATTTGATTATTGCTGCTGAAGATGTTACAACCGAGAAGATGGGTTTCCTTATCCACCACTCCTCCGGCTACGTCTGCGCTCCTCTCTCCCCCGCCATCACTACCTCTCTCGACCTGCCTCAGATGGTCCCCAACAACCAGGACCTTCGAGGTACCGCCTACACCATCTCTGTTGATTCAGCCGACCCCTCCGTCTCAACCGGAATCAGTGCTCGCGACCGCGCTCTAGCCTGCCGCACACTCGCCGACCCCAACGCACGCCCTGATAGCTTCCGCCGTCCAGGCCATGTCCTTCCTCTGCGATCCCGCCCCGGTGGCGTTAGACAGCGACCGGGTCATACCGAGGCTGCTGTTGACTTCTGCCGACTAGCTGGCAAGGCCCATGCCGCCGTTATCTGCGAAATTGTCGACGTCGGCGAGGAGACCCCTGGCCAGGCTCTTCGTCATAACCATGGCATGTTGAGAGGCGAGGATTGTATCACTTTCGCCCGAAAGTGGGGTTTGAAGGTCTGCACCATTGCTGATTTGGTCGCATACCTTGAGAAGACTGAGGGAAAGCTCGAGGCCAATGGCGCTGAGTCCAATGGTAACTAAACAGATATTATCATAGGAAATGGTTATTAGGAGAATTTGTTGGGAATATGGCGGGCGAGTGGCTAGTTGTTCTACTTGATTCATATTCACACATATCCACAGGGCGGTTGATGGTTGACGATACCACCTTCAGTTGGTTCCTGTATTCTTGCATCTGTTTCTGGATTCCTAGGGGGTATTTTGGCATAGACTGGGTTTCATGGCGTCCCGAAAAGTGGCGGTTGAAAAGACAACGAAAAAGATATCCCTCCTCTCACCCATGCTTGTTCCTGGCTTTTAAGCTGGCGTTGTTGACTACTAGGTAATTCGCGGCAGCTTCAGGTCCAGATCATATCTGCTTTTTGTCATTAATTTATGCAGTTCCATGTCGTGTTAATGTAAATTTCATGCTCCTTAAGTTTGGAGAACTCGGTCAAGTTTCCAAGATCTATGTACCCTACGCCAGGCCACGGTTTGTAAGAATTCATGCGGTGTGACGAAACAAGCCAGCTCGACCATTTGGCTACTCATCTTTTGCATCCTTAGAGCCAAGACTAGGCATCTACTTCCTGAGGCGGGTAGATCTTCTGCGCCCAACATCTGGTTGTGCTTCCTCGGCAGCATCTTCTGTCTTTATGGCGTCTCCATTCGTCTCCTTCTTGGTCGCCTTTGTGCGCTTCTTCTTTGGAGGCTGGACGTTCTCCTCGGCTGCCTCTGGTGACTTCTTTCTTGACTTCTTGGGAGCTTTAATTTCGGCCTTTTCTTCCAGAGGCTCCTCTTTGATGCCGGGAGCTGTATTTCCCGTCTTCTTTTGTACGCCGGGCGCATAACAACTTGTCCGTCCACCAACTGTAATGAAAGCCAGTTTTTCGCCATTGGGTAGCTTGGTCGCTGCGCCCTTTGCGCCCTTGCCCCATCTATAGTTGAAGAGCCAGTGTTCGGGGAATTCGTCTGAGTCTCCCAGTTTATCGACGGCTGTTTGACACACATAGCGGATCATTTCATAGAGGGTAGCGATTTGGGCATCGTTGAACTGATCACAGTACTGCTCAGGATGAAGCTTAGCTTGATAGAGTGTTTCGTCAGCCACCCAATTACCAATTCCACTGATCATCGTTTGATCTAGCAAGAGGGCCTTGATAGGGACATGACGGGCTCGCATCTTGGAACGCAAGTAATCTTCGGTGAAACGATCAAGGTCGACAACCGGATCCGGTCCGTTCTCTACCAGAGGCGAATGCTTCCTTATCTGGTCTCCGGGACAGTCGACAAGCCGCACGCGACCAAACCTACGCGCATCAGTGAAGGCTACTTCTACGCCAGGTGAACCCTCGGTTTTGAACTGGAACTTCCAGAACTTGGGCGGCCATTGTTCGTGTTCGCCCTCCTTCATCTTCTTATAGTAGTTGATATATGCTGTCTGTTCATCCTTGATGTGCATCCAGCCTGTCCCTTTGACTTAGTATTGTTTTGTTTGGCTCGTTTCTTTGCTACACTTGCTTACCGGTCATTCCAAAATGCATTACCAGATGCGGAGGTTTGTCAAGGGTGATCCTGTCGCTGGTAAATTGGTTGATCCTAGAACAACGCCGTGAGTTTACTCACCAGAAGTATTTCCCCTGGCTTCCTGCAGAAACGATCTAGAATGATGAGTATGATGAACGCGAACTGTAGCAGGCAATTTCTAACCTTCTTCCCCTTCAGAGCAGTTTCTACTTCCTCACCACTTGTACCAACTTTGCCAAACACATTCTTGTCATCTATTGCAGAAGCGGATAAGATGCGTTTCCCGACCACATGAAGGCGTAGGAAATGGACGATACGGGCAACTATTTCAGGCTCAGCATTGGAATTCTCATCTCGGAATTTAGGTCTCAAACGGACCTTCTGCGATCTCAGGCATCTTTCTATAAGATAAATGGTTGGTATATTGTGTCTACGGGCGGTACGGAGGAAGTAATGGCGTCACAGACTCGATGTCACGAAAGGCGCGTGAGGATGAACGCGATATCACGTGATGGAAATCGAGGATGAGGAGAGGCAAGGGTCACTTCTGTTTGTTCATCAACCTCCCCAAATCTACACCACAATTCTTGTTACTCCACCAAAACCCTTGTAGTGTGAGAGCTGCAATCTTAATAATCCAGTTGAAGAGATCCATATTTCACTGAGTTTTCTCGATGTGGACCGTTTCTTGCTCGTCGTTCGTCGCCGAACATTATACTTCTGCTTTGCTAGGGAGATGCGGAAGCGGAAGAATAAGGGCCCGTGCTCCCCACATTGCAACTTTTGTCCGAGCTTTTTCTCTACAAAAACTTTCACTCTTCCAAGCTTCTTCAGTTTTTCTCAACAACACAAAAAGTAACAAACAATCAAGCTGAGGTACGTTCTAGACGGCGCAATATCTTGCGCGGCTACTCCTTTCTTCCTGATGACACCTTACACCGCAAACTAGAGTCTTTGACCTAAATGGAATGAAACCTCTTTTTTTACACGTCAGTCTGAAAAGACTTTGATCTCGCTTTCGCTTTTGCACTTTGCAATTTCTGAGCACGCGCTGACCTTTAAATAGCTCTTTCATCACCAAGCGGTGGATCATTGCGAGAATGCTCAAGCTTTCCCTTGCGCCCGATATGGGCTGAAATGGTACGTTCATATCCAGCGTCTCCCGTCGCATCCTACCCCGTCTCTCGTGATGATCATTTCTTTTACAATATACGCTGGAAATTACCGGCTGAGTTCTTCTTTGACGATATAAAATGGCTATTTCTGATTGAGACTCCTCTCTTCACACTTGTTGTCATGCATGTAGTAGCTTGCGCTGACCTCAAAAAGATTTTACTAGCAAGGTATGCGATATCTCATCTCGACCCGCACCCGACCTTTCATGATGAAGCGGCACTGGGCTCCGAATCATACCACATGAGCAAGAAAAGCCACTTTGCGGCAGGCCTAGAAAACCTCGCCCACTGACTCGTCACCATCTACTTTCACTTGTTGGATGTTTTCGGGCCATTGAGGCTAACATGCCTCAAGTGCTAGTACTCTTGCCATTCAATCCTAACACTCAGACTTGTCTGGTTCTATCTAACCGTAAGTAATTTTTTACATATTTCAGCAGCATCCTCGCTTCCTGATGAACCCTTTAGATGACGAGTCTTATACGAGTTTTCGATGCAGACACAATCTTACTTTA